GCCATCTCAGCGTGCTCTGGGGGATGGGGCTGGCAGAGTGGGCCCAGGGATTGAACTCCAGGCCCCTGTGACTGCATGCAGGTGCTTTAATCCACTGAGCTAATTGGCTGGCCTTATATGTTACAATATTTTCTAGCCAGTAGAATTAAGTTATAAGAACATTCAGAATAGGGACAAAGTATTGCTGTTGTACAGATGTGAACAAATATGTTTTCAACTAATTATTTTACAAGTAGGCATCGAGATTAAAAATAATTTTTATTTTTTTACACATTTGATCTAGGGTCTCACTACACAGCTCAGACTCACTGTGATCCTCCTGTTTCCAGCCTCCCCAGCCCTGGGATTACAGGTATGTGCCACCATGCTCAGACTCGGGCCAGTGCAGCATGCCCAGGGGTGAGGCCAACACAGCATGTGATATCAGGGATGGAACCCTGATCCCGGCGCTTAGTCTGCTGAGCTATATTCTGGGCCTTTTATTTCATTTCTTATGCATCTGCAAACTCCAATGTGCAGATTGGATTTTCATAATAAAAAAGTTATAAATATTGACATCATTATCAATGAAAATATAATTTTTTAACCTATTTTGTTATATTTCACATGTGACCTACTTGTCTTTGGGTCATGGATTTGCTGAAACTATAATTGGTCTCAAAACAGTTAAGGCTGCAGACATTTGTCTTCAAAGGAACTTAAGCAACTAAAAGTTACAGAAGCTTTGCTAGTTGAAATGCGAGTAGGGAGCACAGGTTCATACCTCTGAGGAATTCGTTTTGAAAAGCCCTGGAAGAGATCATCCCTTGGATCCTGTAGTGGAGAAAACTAGCCCTTATTTTTCCTGCTCAGCTCAACAAAGTAGCCTTGGGTCTGGGATGCAGCCCTTGACCACATAATTTTATATTTATCCACCTTACAAACTTTTTTTTTTCACTTTTCATACCTCTTTTACACATAAGCAAAGTAAATCACAAGGAAATTGTCACTTGACTAGAAAATATTTGATCCTTGTAAGTTGCCTGTGTAATTGTACAAGCTTGATGGTTTGAAATGGTAAGATTTTAAACGACTTATGTCTTATGTAAATTTTATACAGATTATTTTTCTAAAAATTTATTAGGTTTTTCAGGTGGATCACTATGAGTCCAATCTAGTAGTGAGACCCTGAACACCATCTAGACCCTTCCCTAAAAAAATACAAAGAAAAAATTATTAGGCTTTTAAATTTATAGTATCTGGGGCTGGTAAGATGGCTCAGTGGTCTAAAGCACCTACTTAGAACAAGTTTAGCAAAGCACGGTTCAATCCTCCAGCACCACATGCCAGCCAGCCCTGCCCCCTGGTGTGCTGAGCTGGCCACACACACACACACACACACACACACACATAAATAAATAATTAAATTTATAGTATATGATGGCTCTTACCTTATCTTTATTCTTTCTTTGTGTTCATATATAACCATTTATACTATTATTGCTTATCTGAAGTTCTTTTACTTTTTTCTTGAATAGTTTCACCAAAGATTGATCTGTATTATTCAGAGAATCAACCTTTCCCCCTTCTTATCAATGTGTGTTTTCAGAAAATCTCTACTAACTGGGGAGCATTTATTCTGCTATTTCTTTGCAACTACTAAATTTAGATGCTCATGTACCATCTTTTCTTTTTGCCACATGTGGAAAGCTATTTCTTTCCTTTAAAGAACCTTTTGAATGACTTCTCAGTTTTTAATGTGCAGTATTTTTATCATGTAGTACTAAAGATTTTATAATTTTAAATATTTTTATTTCTAAGTATATTGTTTAAAGTAGTTTTATAAATAAAAACTTATTGTTTCAACTTTGAATTACTACATATGAAAATTTATATTCTTTTTTGTTTTTTAGCATTTTAGGGAAGGGCCTACAGGGTGTTCAGGGTCTCACTGGTAGATCGAACTTGTAGTGATTTGCCCGTTTACATCTTCCCAAGAGCTGGGATTACAAACGTGCACCACTACACCCAGTCTCAGTTGTCTTCTCAGCGCATCTGGGGGCAAAAATTTATATTCTTGATTTTATACTTCTTAAAACATTTCTTAAAAATTTAAACTTTCTAACGGCTAGCACTAATAAAAAAAACCCACTAATAACAAATGTTGGTTACACTGTGAAGAAAAAGGAATTCATCTACATTGCTGGTGGCAATATAAACTGGTACAACTGGTATAAAAATCAGTAGAGAGATTCTTTTTTTTTTTTTCAAACACAACTGACACACTGATCTGCCAGTTTGTTAGATACTACCTATGACCTTTATTATTATTGTTTAATCTTACAGTTTTGAGGTTTGCCACAACGAGAATTATATATATTAAGTGCAACCAGATACATGCTAGAGCGCCCCCCCAAAAAACCCTAGCTGCTTATTCTACTAATCCATGTAAAAATCATCCCAGATAATTAAAAAAAGAAATGTACTGAGTAGTTACACAATAAAGGAATGGCACAGTATGCTATCACAAGTGGGTTAGCCCTAAACTTGTAAAATATAATTTTTAGTTCTCTTTATTACTGATATACTTAACTATACAAGAGTAACTTAAAAGGTATATATAGGTCTTGAATGATGAAACATATTATATTAGTGATAATACTAAAATATGTGGAAAAGCTTGCAATGTAAGTTTCAGTACTCTTTTTTAAAGTGACAGATAAAAAATTTATAATTTATGGACATATATTCTGCAATATGTAAACAGTATTCAATGGCTGTCAAAAGATAATTCATATAAGCATTTCATTTTTGTGGTGAGAATACTTACAATCTATATTCCTAACAACTTTCAAAATACATTAGAACTATAGACATTAAGCAGTGTGTGCTAGATCTCCAAAATTCATACTGAAATTTTAATTATCATCTCCCTCTCCTCCATTTAATTATCCCCTCTTATCTATGAGCAAATATTTTACATTACATGGAAGTGAGATCATGTGGCATTTGTCTGTGACTGGCTTATTTCTCTTGCATTTCGTACAGGGTCTCACTGGACAGCTTAAGTTCATAGTGATACTTCTGTTTTCAGCCTCCCAGTGCTAAGATTACAGGTGTGCACCACCACACCCAGACTTGACTTATTGCTTTTAACCGTGTTTCTAGGTTTATCCATGCTGTCACAAATGACAGGATTTCTATCACTGTGGTCTACATACTAATACTATTTTTACCAGAGTTAAATTATATCCTTTCTAGGACTAGTGACAGCATGCTTTAATGGTGGCTCACTGTAAGGTACACTATCAGAAATCCACAAATTAAGCAACTGTTTCTTATGATATTCTTCACTTTCCTGGTTGGCATGTCCATCTATTGATTTCCTTATACAGTTCTTTAATTCTTCCACTCCTTCTCCAGTAACAGCAGAGATGGGGATGATATGCTGGAACTCCACAGTCCTCTCTGGAATTGTGTTCTTTTCAAATAAATGCAGAAAAGCTTTAGGATTCTGCAGATGGCTCATTAGCTCATGAAATTTATCCAGGGCATTTGGCAAATCCATTTTATTAACAGCCAGGAGTGCAGGTTTCATTTGAAGTTCCTCTTTGTATAACTCCAACTCTTTTGTAAGCAGTATTATGGTTTCAAAAGCAGTTCTGTACTTAGTTCGGGAAGAAAGCTGAAATCCACAAATATCAACAACAAAAAGTAGTTGTCTAGTTCTTTCTATGTGCTTCAGAAATTTGTGGCCCATTCCTTTGTTCATATGTGCTCCTTCTATCAAACCTGGGAGATCAGCTGCTGATATCTGGTTGAAATCATCATACATAATCTTTCCAAGTTCAGGCTTTACTGTTGTAAAAGCATAATTTGCAATTTCTGGTTTTGCATGAGAAATCTGACTTAGCAAAGAGGATTTTCCAGCATTTGGAAATCTTTCTGAACAACACGCAACCGCAGCGCACCATCGCTACGACGGATCACGACTCCTCCCCCAGTAGAGAGATTCTTCAGCAAAACTAAGACTGAAAATTCCATTTGACCCAGCTGTTTTCTTTTTAAGTGTCTTCTCCAAAGTGTTAAAAAATTATACCACAGTGACATATGCATACACATATTTATAACAGCATAGCTTCTTTTATATTTTATTTGGTACTGGGAATCAAATTCAGGACCTTGTGCTTGTCAGATAGGCACTGTGCCACTGAGCTACATCCCTAGCCCAGTTTATATTAGCTAATGCTTAGAAGTGGTCTATATATCTATTAGCAGATAAATAATAAAAGGTTAATGGATTATTACTCTGCAATAAAGAAGGATAAATTTGAGTCATTTGTAGGAAAAAAAAGTAGATGTACCTTGAGAACCAAAAGTTAAGTGAAATAAATGACACATCTCTTGCATGAGAAATCCAAAATACAAATAATTTCAAAGAACAAAATTAAAAAAGACAGTAAGAAATAGGAGACATTTGCAAATGGGAAGGAGATCTAGAGATGAAGTTAGGGGAGTGAAAAAAGAAGGGAATTAAAAAGAATCAAGATAGGTATATGAAGATGATGTAAATATTACATAATACAAACATATACTAATAAAAACATATTACTTCAGTTTGTCAATTCTCGAGGTAGTAGTTCCAAGTCAGATTGTGCCTATCTCTTAGAGAAGGCTGGTCAGTGTGATGAACAGCTGGTCACTATAATGCACATTGTGTAAACCAGTCTCCAATTGACAAACCATCCTGCCTCTGTTCTTCCTGTTTGCTTTTCCAATATAAGCCCTAGACCACCAGAGATCAGGGCCTGATATTCTGAGAATAACCCAATCAGTGCCCATTGATGGAAACAAATCTACCTGAGAATCCTGGATGTTGTTTTGGTGTTTCTGCTTGCCAATGCACTAATTTACCTGGAATTTGTGTTAATGTAGGGAAGGAAAAGTTGGCTTGATTCAAGGATGGAAGGTGTATGTGTACATGCCCAAGGTTAGGTTCAATTGGACAAAAATTTTGGCTGATGGGGAATTCCTTTAGAGGGTGGAGAGTTCAGGTTTTAAATGAGATATTGGATTAATCACTTAAATTTCTTTGCTGACTTTACTGAATACATGATTGATGGTTCACTGAGTATTATGGTTTGTGTCTGGTTGTCCCCTCAAAGCATCATGTAAGTCATGGGGCAACTGAAGCTTGAGGAGCAGCGAGTAGCTCAAGGGGTTGGGCCCAAGGACCAGGGAGGGGCTTGAGGAGTGGGGCCAGAGAGGCATGAACCCTTAAACTGGCTGGATGTGCTCCACCTCCACTCTAGGCCTACAGTCTTTCAGAGGTGTACAGAGGGTCATCCTGGGCACAGCAGTGCCCCAGCCTCTCCTCCAGACCCTGTAGAGTGGGATGGCAGTGTCTGTGATTGAGGCTGCCTTGGGCAGGGAGATGTTTGGAAAAGACAGAGGTACTGACCCTCTCTCCTGAGCAAATAAGGCTCCAAGGTCTTGCTGCTTAATTCAGGCTGCTTTAAACTATACAATATCCAGTAACTGTGGGCTAAATGAACCTTTCCTTCCTTCATTTTAATTGTTGCGCATTTGTCCCAGCAATGAGAGAAGAGTAAGACAGAATTTGATACCAGGACTGGGGTCATTGATGTGGCTAAACCTGATCATGTGGATTACAAGCTTTTGGGAATGGCTTATGGGAAGAGATAGGAATGGTTTGAAGATGTCACCTACAAGAGAAGTGCTGGAACAGCTTTGGCTGTTCTGTAGGGGAGATTCTGGTCAGAGCTCAGCCCAGAAAGCTGATAGAAATCCTCCCCATAAAGAATAGGCTGGGGAGGTTTCTGATGGGAAGAAAGACTGCTTTGGTTTTTGGACTCCAGATCATTTGTGTTTTGGCTTGGCAGAAAGTTTGTCTGAATTTTGCCCATGTCCAGAGACTGCCTGAGACTGAGATTAAGCATGGTAGCCTGATTAATCTTTCAAAGGAAATCTCAAAGCAGTCAAATATTGGGACAGTGGCATGGCTATTGTTGGGGGCCTTTAGTCAAATATATGTTGAGAATGAAGAGCAAAAAGCCCAGAAGAATGACTTTAAAATGTTGTGAGTTTGGCCAGAAAGGAAGGACCAGGAAAGCTGTGGACTGCAACGATAGAGCTGAGATTACCATTGCCCAGGAGGAATGGGAGAGTATAAAGGACGTCCTGAGGGCATGACAGAAGGTGGCAGGTTCTCACCCTTTATAGCCTCAGAATTGTAAGGGTGAGGGACTTTGCTTTGAGGAGAAATCCACAGAACCCCACGTTCCAGAATAGAGGCGGCATTTTAGTGGTTGATACATTGTGTCAATTCAGCTGGATCAGGGTTCCACACTCTGGGCTGAAAGTGCCCTGCCCCGGAGTAACTTGGCACAAAAAGGGGATATAAAGGTGTTGAGGAAGGATTTGCCATACCACTTCTCCTCAGAGGAACTTCAGTCTTTGCAGTCAGCTTGGACTTCATGTCCCGGCTTCCAGTGCCGACTCTTCAGCCTCCAGCTTGGATCCTTCAGCTTTATGTCACAGATTCTTCAGCCTTCCATTGCAGACCCAACGGTTGACTGTTACAGACTGTTAGAGATGAAACTCTGCAGTGAGTTTCAGACCTTGGGACTGAATCCTTCAGTCTGAGGTGTGCATACTTCCTCATCCGACTCTGTGACTGGTACATCTTGTGTTATATCTGTTTCTTGTGTTATATCTATTCCTCTAAAACCCTGACTAAAACCCTGAGAAACCGGAACCATCTGGTGTGAACTGGATTTGTATGCATTTACCCAATCAGTAAATTGGACTTCTCTTTTCTCAGTTTTCTTTTATGAAGGAGCTGGTCCTACACACATAGCAGGGGCACACAGAGGAACTAGTGTGATAACCCCACTGTTGTGGTAGGCAGACCAGGATCCAGCTCTGAGCAGAGTGGCACCAGGAAAAGTCTGGTTTAGACGGACAGCGCCAGGAAGTGAGGGCAAAGTGGGCTGTGGGCTGTGGTGCTCTCTTGACATTGTAAAGAACTGTGCAGATTTGGGCTAGCATGGTAACCTGGAACCTGGGTGCACCCTGAGGGAAGGAACAAAGCAGAGGTGTCTGGGGAAGACGGAGCAGGAGAAACTTCCAGAGAATGTGTGGTTCACCAGTGCAGGCAGGTGTGTGGGTGCATGTATCTTAAACCTCTGAGGGTGGGTAATCTTCATTTAAATGATGCTTTACTAGGGGATGGATCCCATCCTGAGTAAGGCATTTAGTGTTTCACAGGTTGCCAACCTTAAGGGAGCTGTTCTCTGCTTGGAATAGGGCATGAGGCATAGATGGGAAGAGGGAGACGACAGCGTGGGTAGTTGACAAACTCTGGTGAGGCGAGGTGGATGGTGTCACGGGAGAGGGAGAAAAGGAGGGAGGAGAAACACGTGCCTGGGTTGGGCTTGTTTAATGAACACTGGAGGGCAGAGCCAGGTCCCAGAAAGGGTGCTTGGAGCTGAGCTCACTGCCTTTGGCTCTCCACCCTACCCTCCGCTCTGCGCCCTCTGCTCGCAGCCAGGCCTGGCAGAGTTCAAGTGGGCCTGAGAGTTGGCTGAGATCGAAGGCATGAAAATCGTCCTGTCCCACTGGCTCTGCTTTGTGAACTGGCTGGAGGAAGGAGTGCGCACAGTTCTTCACAATGTCATACCCCTTGAGCATCAGTTCAGATTTGCTGCTCTAGAGCCTGGTCTTTTCCAAATTCCATGGTGCAGGCGGCAGCGGACAGCGGAGGCGCATCTTGCATCTGGACCTGACCTCCAGGACCTCTTGGAGCTGGCTGTCAGTCTGTGCCACTCTAGGGCATTTCTGAGGCCTCTGTGGTATAGTAGCTCCCAGGAGATTCTTTGCCAAGTTAGTCCTTGACTTCCACTCACAAGCTTCAGGTTGATTTGGGGGAAGTGGTAGGGACCAGTTAATGGGCAGGGAGAAATGCGCTAAGAAGCATTAGAAAATGCCCAGGTTTTGCTGCATGTAATGGACTCCACATCATCTCAGATGATGTTTCCATGCACATTCGTGTGTGTGTGTGTGTGTGTGTGTGTGTGTGTGTGTGTGTGTGTGTGTGTTAATCTCCAGCTGGCTCCTACACAACTTGAGAGAAGCCAGAGATTCAACAGAAATGTGTGTTGAACAAGTATTTTTCAATGAAAAGTGGCAGCACCAGTAACTTCGAAATTCTAGAATGGTTCTTGAGAGATAGAATACCATTTGTGTTGACAGATGTGTACCAATTTAGTTAAAAGCAACAAGAAAAACGCCTCATGGTTACACAGAGTAGGCTGCATTTTGACCTACTTGGCATAAAAGTGTTCAGAATGGTGTCTCATATACTCTACTCACCTTGCTGGGACAAAATACCCAACACACAAAACGAATGAAGGAAAGGTTTATTTAGCTCTGTGGAGGTTTCAGTCCATACTCAGCTGGCTTCAAGGTAGTGTCACATGGCAGAGAGCAACCATTCATGGTGGTGGCAAATAGCAGAGAGCAAGTCTGTCTCCTTTACATTGCCTTTAGGCTACCTGCCTCAGGCTGTGTTTAGCACTCACACCCATAATCCCACCAGCACTTACACCTGTAATCCCAGCGACACACCCATAATCCCAGTGGACCATGAGTTGATCACGAACTCTAGAAGTCAGCCCCATGACTTACATGAGGCTTTGGGGGGGACAACTAGATACAAACTATAACAGATGGGGAGACAGGAGACCTGAGAACTTGCTTGGTTACCTCCCTGAGAATTTGTCTAATAGGTAAATGGAGAAGGGTAGAGCCCAGGCTCTTTAAGGTTTCTTTTAGTTGTAAATGTCTATGATGAAATGAAATGGCTGTGTTTTCACAGATATGTGCCGCATTTCAGTGGCTCCCAGAAACTGTTTATCAGAATATTAGTGGTCAAGTTGAAATAATGTTATCCTTTCAGAGGATGGCCTGAGGATCATTGCCTTAAGAAAACCTGACAAATAGCATTTGGCTTTATATATAAAAAATTCATGTGTTTATTTCCTAAGTTAAATAAATTATTGAATGATTCTTAAGTTAAAAATATTCCCCCCCTTCATTTTTTCTGTGTAAACTCTGGCTTCTGCCCCAGAAGATGTTTCCACGTGTCAGGAGGCTGTGTTGTGCTGATCAGCCTGGTTAATACTGATTTTCAGTTTCAAAAGGGAGTGCTTGTGGGCCTCAGCCCCAGGATCTCAGCCGGCTTAGATCACCAGGAGCACTTGCTCTTTGAAAGTGTTAGATCTCAAAGAGCTCAAGATAGGGCCTGGATGCTTTCTGGAATTTCATGCTGTTCTTGCAAAAATCTCAGTGGCCTGGGCAGTATGAAGTCTTCTTAAACATAGCTCAGGATTTCTGGGGCATGTATATAGACTGACTGCTTTAACGGTCTCATGGAATAGGCAGAAGACGGGTGATGTTTCCCAGGTATGATTTCCCACAGAAGACAACAGGTGGTAGATCAAGTGTGTACTTAAAAAGAGTAGCAGTTCAGTTTTATTAAAAGCTCAATGTTTAATCCACCTGATTTATGAAGCTTATGAAACAAGAGTAAATATTCCATATTTAGTTTTTCCCTAATATGATACTCTGTAGCTTTAATTTTTAATGACTTTATTTTACTTAGAAATCATGAAAGCACTTATGTACGAATACTTGATTCTAAATGATCTTGGGGTCTGCCTGAGGTGGTGCATGTCTATAAACCCAGCACTCTGGAAGGGAGGCTGAGGCAGAAGGATAGCCAGCCTGGGTTACATAGTGAGTTCAAGGCCAGCCTGAACTACACAGTAAGACCCTGTCTCAAAAAGAAAAAAAAAATGATCTTGGTATATTATATGTTTTACTAGGTCATTATTTTATTATTTTCTTTTAAAAGGTTCATAATAAAGCCATTTAATATTGTAACTATTGAGATTATATTTGAAGTTGCATTTAAACATCAGATATGTTTTGGTCTTTGCAAATTAATTTCTTCAACAGGGTTGTATAAAAAAGTGGAACCTTAAGAGTCATGTTAGAATACATATTAATTTTGCCTCTTCAATCTTACAGGATTCAATTCTTTTAAATGTGTATTTTACATTTAAGAGAGAAAGCACAGAAAATAACTCAAGCAGTATGTAACCAACTGAAGCACTATATTTCCTGTAATCATTTTCAATTCCTTAATATTGATGGCTATATTTTGCTAATGTATAATTGTTTTATTGATAATTGGATTAGTTCCATATTTTCAGGTAATTTGTTAATAATTTTGATTCAGAAACATCATTGTAAAGTGTTTCTGTTTTAAAGAAAATGCTACTTACAATGCAAATATGCTAATATTTTCAATAGTCAATGGAATATAATTGTAACCAATTTTATAAGATATTTTATACCTTCATATTTGATTTAAAAGTGTGTCAGACACAATGCCAGTATTGTCCTAAGAATGCAACATTTAATTTTGATGTAATGTGCTATGAGGTTTCTGCAATGTGAATGTCATCACTAAGCCAGTTTATCTGTAAAAAATATTTTACTATGCATTATGGACTAAAAACTGTGTCTCAGATTTTGAAAAAGAAAGAAGAAACAAATGAAAAGAAAGATTTGTACTGATAGTGTTTGGACAGGGTATCCTGTCTGCATTTTGTACTATGGATAACCACTAAGAAGATAACATTGTACAATGTATTAATTATTGAAGCTGTCCTATTAATAAAAAAAGCTCATGTCAGATAAAAAACAAAAAGAAAAAAACAAAACAAAAAAGAAACAAAAGCAAAAAGGCATTAAGAAACTTCATTTTAGTAAAGCAAAGTTTGATATAATTTTTGTCTACATGTTAGTGGAATCATTTTTTATGTTACCTGTTTACATCTTGCATTTTGTTCCAGAAAGAATAAAGAGCTTTAAAGAAGTGTATCAGGCAATGAGAGAATGTGAAGTAGATGAGGAAATTGTAATGATTCAGAGTGACAATGCTAATGATGTTGGAAGTAATAATCCCATTTCAAGCCAGCTATTCCCCTCCTGGGTATTTTTCCAGAAGAACTGAAAACATCATACCACAATGATTTGTGTGAACCCATGTTTTTGGCAGTGTAATTTGTCATAGCTAAATCTTGGAAGCAGCACACATGACCATCAATTGAGGAATGGATAAAGAAGTTGTATTTTTAGACAGTGGAGTATTATTCAGTTATAAAAAAGTGTAAGTTTGAGGCTTTTCTCAATAAATGGATTTCTTAAGTGAAATAAATCAGACCCACAGGTGCAAACACTGTATTATTTCCTTAGTGTAAAAACCTGAAAGAGTAAATAAAATCTGAAGCATAGATACTATGAAAAGGGAATGAACCTGTTCAAAAGGAAGGAATTACTGAAATAAGGAGGACAGGAGAGGAAATGGGGGAAAGAGATATATCTATGTATGCATGCAGGATGTTTTAG